ACCAGAAACCATTTGCGGGCATCTGAAAGAAATACGAAGGTTCTGCGGGCATCTTTGGAAATCAGGCAACAATTTCTTAGAACAGGAAATTCAAGCGACGGATTTGGCAGTTAAATTATTCGAATTAAGTTACCAGGTGTATAAGTGGCATGAATAATTATCATAAGGCTAACTAGGCATTTTTACTATTTTTTGAAAACAAACCCCATAACTTTGAAAGCAGTGGATTAATTGAATACATTCCCTGACATAAATTTCTGACCACCCATATCTCAAGTGATACTAACTCAGTCACTTTGAAACTTGGCATGTATACTAGCCATGGCAAGCAGAACCTGCCACGTAAAATTTTTTTTTTGTATCTTTGTCCTTAGGTGAGTCATGCAAGTTTTCCAAAAATTGGTGGACAAAACTTTCTGATCACCTGAATTAACTAGAGCTTTCTCCTTGAGTAAACGGCATGCTTCAGTTCTCTTAAGGCAATCTTTAGGGACCTACAAGGACGATGAGTATAATTTTTAACACCAGTTTTAATACTAAGGAGCTGTTCGTGCAAAATTTCTGTCATACTACGTACATTACGGGACGAAAATCGTAATTCTGATCGGAAAGTGTAGTGGTAAAGTGGTTGCACGCAGGTGAAAAATAGAAATTATAAGACTTAATCTGACTGCTTAAAAAAAATAATGAAAATTTGAGGCCAAGAAATTGTAAAATATGTACATGTCCTTATTCACCCCGTATCAGACCGACCAAGATTCATATATTAGACCCAAAATACAATATGAATTTACAATTCCGTGCTGAATACACCCTCATTAACAAATACGACAAGTAATAAAAAATATTTATTTTTTCTTGGTCAGGTGTTTTGGCGAGACTGAAAACCCCCGCATCTCATAGTGTTAATCGGGAAATTACAACTGTCTAATCCGTGAGAGGTTGAGGACGACTTAGAGGGTTGTAAAATTAGACTAATTAATCTTATATATATACACTTATATAACGCATAAAGAAAAAACGAATGTCAATTTGAAAAGGCCCATTTGCGTTGTTTAGAAGACAAGTGGAAGCTTTCGCAGAGAATAAGTACTGCCATTACACTCAAGGCCTACAATTCTTGCGCCAAATTCGTTTTTTTCATATGCATCATAGCGCACGAAAACCGCTTTTTGGTGGTCATCCGCGTCTAGACGTAGGAATATGTAAATCTGACTCGAAACCCACTTCTTTCTCGGATTGACTCGGACATTGGGCAAGGATTAGAAGAGAAGAACATGAAAGAGAACGGAAATTAAAAACAGCTTTATAAAACCAATCAGTAGAATAGTTGGCGGGCGCACACTTGCGGGCAACCACTTTGCGGGCAACCAGTTTGCGGGCAAATTTTTTGCGGGCAGCCAATTTGCGGGCAGCCGACATTTGCGGCCAGCACCGGCATTTGCGGGCAGCCTCGAACATTTGCGGGCAGGGTCGACAGTTGCGGGCAGCCTGGAAGATTTGCGGGCAGCCGACATTTGCGGGCAACCGAGACCTGATTGTGAGGGTAACAGGGTGGACGTGGAAAAATTACTATGATATTTTGGAAATTTGCCGACATTTGCGGGCAGCCGACATTTGCGGGCAACCGGCATTTGAGGATAACAAGGTGGAGGTGGAAAAATTACTTCGATATTTTGGAAGTTTTCCGACATTTGCGGGCAGGCAATACTTGCGGGAAGCCGACATTTGCGGGCAACAGTTCCAAAAGTACCAATACAGTGTGTGTGATTGTTTTTTCCTGTTGCCCGCAAATGTCGGCTGCCCGCAAGTGTCGGCTGCCCGCAAATGTCGGCAAATTTCCAAAATATCGCAGTAATATTTCCACCTCCACCCAGTTACCATCAGGTGCCGGTTGCCCGCAAATGTCGGCTGCCCGCAAGTGTCCCAGGCTGCCCGCAAGTGTCTCAGCTGCCCGCAAATGTTTCAGCTGCCCGCAAATGTGACCCCCCAAATTTTGCCCGCAAAGTGGCTGCCCGCAAAAAATTTGCCCGCAAACTGGTTGCCCGCAAAGTGGTTGCCCGCAAGTGTCGCGACGCCGAATAGTTGAAAACAATATCAAGCAGATATAAAAAAGTATCACTGGTATATTGCAAAAAATATTTTGTTTTGAAAATACGATATCTTGAATCTTCTTACAAGATGTTTTTTGACGGCGGAAGTGATTATAATGAAAATTGGCACGTATTTTTATTGATTTTTTTAAATGCCAGACTCCTTTCTGGCGCGTTGCAAAAACAACCTATATTTTGTGGATTGAAGGTTGGCCAAGAGGCTTTACTTTCTGGGAATTTTTGTTGTGAAAAAATCCGCAAAGGGCAGGGTAAAACTTTCAGGAATTGTCACGAAGCATATCATGTAAAAAGACTAAACAAAATCTGACCGTAGCACTTACTTAAAGTGGGCTATTTCACAACGAAAAATCATCTCTAGATGGATATAGCGGTTCGCTTTGAGATTTGCATCCCTTTTTTGCAAACCTCAAAAAATTTTTAACCTGTTTAATGTCCTTTCTTGGAATGAAATTAGTGGGCCGAGCAGTCTTCTTGCAGTTTTCTATCTTCTGCAATTGTTGCAAACCCAAAAAAGTCAACGTCTTTGAAAACTCGATAAAAAAACGCAAGATCAAGAAGCCTACAAAAAACTTTGCTGCCATCTTTTACATAAGAAATGACTATGTTTGCGACCCCAAAATGAAAAAAACGAATAGGTTGCAGGAAGTAGTTCAAAACGTTGGTTTCTTCAATTTCGACGAGGCTCATAAATTACGTCCAATGATGCTGTTAGTGTGCAACAACGAAAAAATGAGTGCAACATTATGAAAATTTAGGGGAATGGAACGTCATCGGATAGAAGGGGAAATAATGGAATTTCTGGAAAAGTGAAAAGTCAAGTACGCCAAGAGAAGGCCCTATATACAAAGTAGTGCGGTAAATATAAAGATGGTCATATAAATATTAAAAAATTTTTTTGCCAAATCGCGATTATCGGTGAACAAAAAAGTCGACGCCCAAATCGAAAAATCGGCGTCGACCTCATTTTTTCGGCACCAAATTCTGAAATCTGGTGAATTTTTCTAAACTCAGCGCCCGCTTTTCGAAATCGGGTGCACAAAGTCTTAAGTCAGCACCGCATTTCGGAATTCGGTGCTGAAAAAGTCATGTCGACGCCAATTTTTTGGTTTGCACGTCGACTTCTTTTTTTTGTGGACCGAAAATCGCGATTTGGGAAAAAAAATTTAATATTTATATGACCACCTATACATGCAAAGTGACTAAAATATTACGGCCCAAAAATCACCAGAATGATGCTGAAGCCTGTGCTTTTAGGGCTAACAGGGGAAGTACTTCAAGTGTGACGCTCAGATTTTCTTTAAATTTTGCACACACATCGGGTATGGACTAAATATCAATTCCTGAAAGTTTTAGCTCGCGCTTTGCGGGCGCCGCCGAGATATCGAACGATTTTTGCCGCCGAGAGAGCACGCTAAACGTGGAGAGCGGTCAGAGAGAAAAGAACTTTTTGGCCATAACTTTGGCAGTTTCGTGCGGAAAAATTTGATTTTTTGTAGAAACATTATCCTTTACAGTTGAAATAGGCATGAAACTTTTCGTGCCGAAATTCGGCAAAAAGTCCTAAATTTTCGCCGACTTTTGATCTAAAAATCTCGGTTGTTTCTGTAAAGCGCGAGCTAGGATTCTCGCATATATCTTAGAAAAAATTATTCTAAATTTATGCCAAGTTTCATCAAAATCTGAGCGTCACACTTCAAGTACTTCCCTTGTAAGCCTAAAAGCAGAGGCTTTAGCATCATTCTGCCCTTTTCGGTTCTACAACGTCATCCAGCGAGTGCCGGCGTTCCAGTTCAATCCTCAAGTCTTTGCGCCAACCCACAACCCATTCCCAATATCCGCGCGCCGGAAGCAACATCACCAGCGCGAAGATGGACCCAGAAATGCATACGAACCGAGTCGATTAAGCTAAGCAACATCAGAGCTGATGGAAAATACATATCTTCTTCTTGTAAGTCGGGGAGGGCCGTTTTAGGACGAGGGCCCCTGGCATGTCCACAGGTCATTAATTCCAGATGTGGAACAGGGGAGGGGGGCGAGCTGAAGGAGAAAAAGAGAGGGCGCTTCGAAGACACAATACATCTATCTTTGTCTGCGGGATCACATAAATACTCGAAGACTTTTACGGAACAGACCAACGTACGGGTGGATGCGAGTATCTTCGGTTTCGGTGGTTATGTGACAAAATACAAATCTCCGAAAGCAAAATGGCGGGGCTTCAGAGGAAATTGAGGTGTTTGGATAAAAGCAAAGACAATGGTCACATTGTAAGTACATAAAGCGCTGGAAAAATCATCAAAAATGTCTTCAAATCCTTCAATTTCCACACCGTAGTCTGTGTTTTTTGCTAGTAGAAAGTAATAAAAGTCAGGTAGCAGGTAGATACTCATGCTCTCCAGGGATGAAAGCAATTGGACTGGAGGCATTATAGTATTACTCCGCCTTACAAATCAATCCGGGATAATCCTCAGTAATCGGTGATAATTACCGAAGACTTCGGTGTTCGAAATTATGTGTAGAATGGGGTAGATAATGACATCACAAAGGTGTATACAGCAGAAGATAGAAATGGTAGTGAAGCCTTGAATTTTTGGAAGTGTCGAAAGAGACCTTTGTTTCAAAAAATAAGGTTTTTGGGATACCTTTTGACATGTTTCTCGGGATTCGACAATGTTGAAGGAAATATTTAGATGCCATCATCAAAACAGCAGTCTCTTTCTGCTCCAGGGTTCTCCTTGATACCTAATATGGCCTTGTTTTGACACCGTTTTAACCTTTCTGTAAACTAGAGCAGTTCCAATCAAAGCCAACAATAAATCCTTCGCAATCTTACTGCGCAGTTTTATTGATGTTTCAAAAATAAGTTAAAATGGTGCTCAAAACACCCATCTAGTCATCAGATCTAATGCAGCCGCTCTTGTCAGTGATAGCCGTGGGGCAAGTGACTCTCTTGAAGGTGACGCTTGGGTTGTCCGCATTCTCGAACCATCCGAATCTCCATTCGCAGCCGGGTTGCAACGCCGACGGAAGCTGGCTACAGTCCGACGCAGAGCTGACTCCTCCGTATTGCGATCCCCAGCCGGACGATGGGGCGCCCCATTGGGCTGTGCAGCCGTTGTAGAGGCCAACACCACCGCCGGGGATCTCCAAATCGAACTGGTTGCTTCCCAAGTCTCCGCCGGTGTTGGTCGCTTGAATAATGAACTTTTTGCCGGCAACGGCGGTGGAAGTGAAGGTCAGTTCGTAGCAGGCGCAACACCAGTCGCTCTCGCTTTCACCAGCAATATTGACAGCAGCGAATCCGTAGGACAGGGTGTCGTTTACAGCCCAGGGCTGTTCGGTGGAGCAGGAGTAGGCGCTACCTCCGTTACAGCCGGATTGAGTGTTTCCACCGTCGTTCAAGGGGTTGTTGTTAACATCACAGCTTTTGGAAGGGCCCTCCTTGAGAGAGGCCTTTCCTGGCCAAGAACAAGAGTTCTTGCAACAGTCCCTGTAAAGATATAGTAAGAACAAATCCAGTAATCTTCAACCAGCATGCACTATGGTTCGATTTGACCATTTTTTTCTCAGAGAACGCTCTAGCCGAACCTTTTCCTTATCTTACCAATATCTAGTCGTAACTCCGGTGTCGTCAGCGACCACCAACCCAACAAGTGCCAATGCAACAATGGTGTTCATGATGGAATCGAGTGTTCCGAATGATGCCTTCCCCAACTGCCTGCTAATCTTTTATACCGCTCTGCTGTTTGTCATTTCCTCTAAATTCCGAACGCTTCGTTGTGTGTTCAGATGCTTCCTTCCCCGAGAGTTCAAAATATTGTGACAGATTGGATAATAAATTTGAATTCAAATCCGATTAAAATAGACGTGGACGATGTTTCAAGGCCAGAAAAAATGGAATATGAACTTTTGAAGAGAGCAGATGAATAAACTGGAAGTCACACTTTTGGGGATGATCAATTGGCCCCAAGCTATTATGTTGGGCTGAAAGTGTGATGTGTGGTGGAATGGAGGAATTGAGCAGTTTGGTATGGAAAATTCCGGCTTTTGTAACTTGAGAATTATAGCTTTAAAATAAGTAAAATGGACAAGGTAATTGAAGAACTAAATATCAATTAACAAGGGAAGTACCCCAAGTGCGACGCTCAGATTTTCTTTAAATTTTGCACACGTGTCGGGAATAGACTAAATATCAATTCCTGAAAGTTTTAGTTCGCGCTTTGCAGGCGCCGCCGAGATATCGGACGATTTATGCAGCCGAGAGAGCACGCTAAACGTGGAGAGAGGTCAGAGAGAAAAACGCTTTTTGGCCATAACTTTGCCAGTTTCGCGCGGAAAAATTTGATTTTTTGTAGAAACATTATCCTTTACGGTAGAAATGGTCATGAAACTTTTCGCGCTGAAATTCGGCAAAAAGTCCTAAATTTTCGCCGACTTTCGATCTAAAAATCTCGTCGCACGTCGCACTTGGGGTACTTCCCCTGTAAGTTGAAACCACTAATGAGATAAGTCGATATATGATGGAATCTCTGTTCTGTGCAATTAGCCGTAAGAATCAAACAATTTGTTTATATATAAATATGTAAATATTAGTTATAAGAGGACTTTGTAAGGTTGTATCCAAAGAGGCCATCTGAACGATGAGAGAATCTGGACGAAGAAGGCACCCAGAAGAGGGAACCTGGGCGAAGAGGGCACCTTGACGAAGAAATGACATGGTAAGGAGCGGACCAAGGCGGATTTTTTAGAAATGATTTTTGCTTTTTTTTGCCAGCAGATAATACGTATGATAAGAGGAATCTCAAAAATTTCAAATTCAAATCAAAAAAATGCTGCCAAAGCAATCAAAACTTGTTGCCATGGAATGGAATGGGATCATAATGCCATTCAACTTTTTAATGCAGAATGGTTTAAAATGCTTTGAACATCTACGATTTTTTTATTGTGAGTGAAATTTTTAATATCTAAAATTTCGACTTGCCGTATTTTACCATTTTTATTTTCCCTTATTTTACAATCCCATCTTTTCTTTTTCTCCCTTTCCCTTATATTACACCTCAAAATGTAATTTCCAGCTAATTGACGACTATTTATTTACGTTTGTTGACCATAAAACCCGCAAAACTTGTTTTCGCGGCGCTTTTTTCGTTATGACTCCTTTGAAACAATTTCCCCGAATTTCAACAGAAAACGTCCCCTCGCCGCCGAGGAATTGGAATACGAGAAAACTCGGTTTACAACCGACGGAAATTAGACAATGAAGGAATGGGGACAAGTTGGGGCCGGGCTGTAAAAACGGCGACAAAATACGCAGCGCCTCCGGGAATGGGTATAAATTCAGGTTCGCGTGGATCAAAAGAGTTGGACGAATTTGGAAATGAACGCATGGTCGGGCTTATTATTGGTTCTATTTACGGGCTACGGTAAGATTTTGAATATTTGGGGCTTTTTCGGATGTTTGAGAAATCTTTGATGAGACATTTATCTAGAGTTGCGACGGTTTGATTTTTCTCAAATTTTATCGCATATGTATGATTTCCCTAACAAGGGAAGTACCCCAAGTTCATCCCCCAGATTTTGATGAAACTTGGCATAAATTTAAAATACGTTTTTCTAAAATATATGCCAGAATCCTAGCTTGCGCTTTGCAGAAACAACCGAGATTTCTGGCTTAAAAGTCGGCAAAATTTTGAAAATTTGTGCCCAACTTTGGCACAAAAAGTTTTGTGCCTATTTCTACCACAGAGGTAATGTTTTCACAAAAGAAATAATGTTTTCCGCTCGAAACTGGCAAGGTTATGGCCAAAAAGTGTTTTTTCACGCTCTCCACGTTTAGCGTACCCTCTCGGCGGCAAAATTGTTGGATATCTTGGCGGGGCTTACAAAGCGTGAGCTAAAAACTTCAGAAATGATACTTACTCTATTCTTGACGTGCGTACAAAATTTTAATAAAATTTGAGCGTCGCACTTGGGGTATCTCCTTTGTAAGTTACAGACTTCTTCTTGAATGTTTGAGCTTGCTGTTTGATGAGAAATCAGCGAGAAAAGGACTTCTGCTTTATCTCTGCGAGCCTTGCATGGCGTAGCGAACTTTTTTCGCCGCCGATCGGTGTCCAAAAAAATGAAAAAAATAATGAGTGGTCATTACGTTTTTATGCGTGTACGGAAATATTTTTTCAACGAAACATACCCTCTCTAGAAGTCAAGCTGGCAAACGTTTCATCAAAATATAAGCGTCGTACTGTGAGCATTCTCTCTCTGTGTAAAGCTTTCTTTACGGTCGGGCAATTTATTTTACGATTCGTTTTACAGAAAATTAACTTAACTGTTGAAACATTCACTTTCCAAAGGCCCTTCTGTAGCCTCTTATAGCTCTTTTACGCAAAATTCAATGACAGCACGCTTTCACATTTTTTTCAATTTTCCAGTCAACGCCATTCTCCATGAATCCAACGAAACCCTCCAGCACGAACGTCGTTCAGTCGGCGACGCCAAACAAAATCCGGAAGTACTTTCTGACGGCCCGACACCACCGCCTCTGCCGTTTCCGGTGACGGCGCAATCCCTGGCCGACACTTTGTCTCCGCCGTTGCTTTCGTCGATCCAATTCGAAGGCGAAGCGTTGAGCCAACTTTTCAGCGCTGTCAAGGCATCGCGGCAGGAGGAAAGGGACGAAAAGCAAGACGCAATGCCTCCGGCAATCAGCCCTCATGATATGCTGAATAGATTTTTTGTGGAAGAACAAAAAGCGGAGGCGCGGCTGTTGCAGAGCGTCACAACAACGACTGTGATGGTTCCCACAGAAAGTGTGGATGTAGATGCCGTTGAGCTTGGGCTGTTTCAGGTAAATAAGTTTGTTGAAAATTGAGAGTACAGTGGTGGACCTGATCCAGTGGCAAAAAACGTACTATTTTGCATCCGGGAATTATCAAAAATATGGCAAAATACCTGCATTTACAAATGAAAGACTCCAATTTCAAAAGCGCGCCCGCTCTTTTTGTAAGGGAAAAGGCGCGCTCTTCAAAACGGAGTATTTTCACTTGGAGAGGGAGGTATTTCGCTGCATTTTTGATACTTCCCGGATGCGAAATGGTACGTTTTTTGCCACTGGATCAGATCCCTCACTGTATCAATGAAAAAAATAAAATCTGTAAAACAGAAAACTATAGGCAAAATTTTACATCTGACATACGAATTTAAAAAAGATCCGATTGTCTGCTGTATCTTACAATCCAGTTTTCATTATTCTGTTTGCATGCTTTGTTGACCCAAAATTAATATCTAGGAGGTTCAAGAGCTGGACACATCAACAACGACCACAACTACAACCACAATCGCCCCCTCAATCACCAAGAAAACGAGTCGCCGTCCAAGGGTTGGCAGTAGGAGGAAAAATGGAACCGTCCGAAGTCGGCGTCCCACAAAAGGCCGTCGACGCACCACAACGACAAATACGCCTCCACAAATTCATCAAGAAGAGGTTCAGCCGGCGGAAATGGAAGTCGCCCATAGAGTTCACAAAATCAGATCCAAAGCCAAGGTGCCGACACAACAGGAAGTCCTCGACTTCTTTGGCCCTCAACTCAGATCACACAGAGGGTTAGATCGGCATACTCGAGAGGAGATTTTAGATTCATCGACGAAAAGTTTTGAGGAGATCAAAGCAGGAGACTTTGAGATGTATTTGGAGTTCTTTACCGTCACTTATACGGACATTAAAGTCATGTATTACGCAATTAGTAAGTTGTTTTGGGAAAAGTGACTTTCCTTTATGGAGAAATTTAGAAAATGCCAAAATTTTACCTAAATTTGGCAAATGATGTGATTTGAATTTTTCTACGGCATTTTAGAGGTTTTTAGATCGCGTTATGCAGAAATATCATCAAAAATTTTTTTTGATATTTTTCCATTTAAAGAATTTTCCGCCAACTTTTTTTCAGCAAAATTCGATCAAAATATCACGGAGGGACCGCATATCGCCTACATAATCGATGACGACAATGCGAATTTGTGGCTCAAAAACACTTGGTATTTACCGGACCGAGAAACGGAGAGGGCGCGGATCTTTCAATGCACGGACCGGTTCCTCTATTACTTTGAAGAGTAAGCAACGCGTTACGACATTCCTTTGTCCAGTTTTTACAAACAATCTTTGTAAAAAACTGTTTGTTTGCTTTTGACGAAATAACTTAACTTTTTGTGGGAAACATTGGAAAAGCTCAAAGATATGTAAAAGAAAACAGTACTACTGACAATTGGAAACATTTTGAGGCATTTTCAGACATGGCATGGTCCGTCTTCAAACCCCCTCCGGATTTGACTGTTCTCACGCCTACTTGTACGGCAATATAATGTTTATAAATCAAACACACTTCATTCAGTTGGGAATGAACGATGGGTACATTGGAAGAGGCTTGAAAGGAACAGTGTGAGTGCTAGTTGTAAAATAAGTTTTTCGAATTCTTCGTATGTATGGATACAATTCTATGAGACCATTTTAAGGCCTATTGAAAAGTCCAAACTCCGCGATGACATTCAGCTGACCATGGAGTTGTGTTTCAAGCCGGTAGGTCTCTTTCTTAGTACGCTGTTTATCAGAAGATATTATATAGAATACTTTGTTGAAGCCACTATTTTTTTAAACTTTTTTTATACCTTTTCAGGACCGTTTCTGTGCCCAGACGAATCCAATCAACCTTGTCACCATTTCTAACCAACCTTTTGCATACTTTGCGAATAATCTAGAGTTTCATGTGAGAAGAGCAAGGTGGGTATTGGTTTTTGCGATGACGTACAGTAGTCGACGGCGGGCGGCCTTGAAGGAAAGGACGCGATTTTCAAAGCGGAGTTTTTTAGCTTAGAGAAGGGAAGGGTTTTGAGTCATTTTGGTCCCTTCCGGGATGCAACGTGAGACGTTTTTTTGCCATTGGATCAGGTCCCTCACTGTAGAATCAACAAAACTTCATAACATGTGAGAAGTTGAGAGAGCCACCAGTCAAATTAGTCGTTTTATTATTTCGCAACAAGGCATGACGCAAACTCAATTTGCTCTATTCTATTTACGTACATATGATTTGTTAGCAACTTTTCTTAACAGTTTTATTTGAGCTCATTTTGCTCATAGATCTTAGCTACGCCTATGGCCGCTGCAAAGTAAAACAATGCAAATCTTGGGTGGTATTTCGCAACCTCCTCGAAATAAAGAACGGGCCAAGGCATTGTCAAGCATTGTAATTTGTAAAATACGCGGTACAGTATGTATGTTCTTTTATTATCTCAACCACTTTCAGAGATCCGTCCGGAAGGCTGGCTGTAAATTTTGTTGTCGAGGTTCACGGAAGTGCACGAGCCGAAGAACAGTAAGTTTGAATAGTAAAACGTATGATCATAAAAAGTCAAAGGGGAAAGTTGTTTCAATATTCCAAAGGTTTTCTGATCCGTTTCGCGTTCTTTTTTTTCGCCACTAGGCTTCTGCCTAACACAACGAGAGTTCGTTTGAATTACAACTTTTTAATCCTAATCTCCAATGAAATCTGGGGTATTTAAATACGTAAATAGCAAAGTTTATAACCTTTAAATCCGATAAAAATAATCCAACACTTCTTGTTTAGATTGGTAAACTTTGTATTATTAAAGTTTACCAATCCAGACCAGAAATAAATCAAGCCCATTTCCAGCCGCTCATTCTTCTTCCCATCGGACCTGAAGACCTTCGGTGGAGAGGTGGACAAGCGATTTGAAAGAGTCGCTTTGATTCCGTTAGTACGAGAAACCGACCCCTTCTTCTCCAGGTACAATATTAATTCCATGACTGATGCCGAAATTGCCGTGGAAATGGAGAGAAAACGTGTCTAAATTATCATAAGTGTGCCTTAATTTAATAATTTAATATTAAAGTGTATATGCTACGATAAGAAATTTAACATTGCTTCCATGAGAGCTTGATTTTTTTCAATGTTTCCGCCATATCCTGCCGAAAATCAATGTAATTTAGGGGTTCTCAATAGCCTGAATTGCTGAATAATGGGTAAAAGCGTTTATTCCTCGACCGGATGGATCAACAACCATGCATAGTTAAAACAACAAGTCAGTCAAAGTAAAAACGTCATCGAAAGATTGGAGAAAACATTGCAATTTCCAAAAATATACAAACAAGTTCAGTTAAAGTCACCGTTCTGAGAATGAGATGCGCCGGCCTTGCGGCCGAAGAGACGGTGCGCTTATTTGCGTCCGGCGTAGTTGTTTCCAGCGGCGGGGGCGACGACTGGAGCGGACTGGTAGCTCTGCTGTTGGGCTGGGGCCTCAACTGGGGCTTGGTAGCTCTGTTGTTGGACGGGAGCCTCAACTGGAGCTGGGGCGGATTGGTATCCTCCGACTGGAGCGGGGGCGGAGTTCAAGGCGGGGGCGGCCTGGTATCCTCCGACGGGGGCTGGAGCAGAGTTGAGGGCTGGGCCGGATTGGTAGCCTCCTCCGATGGGGGCTGGGGCCGAGTTAAGAGCGGGTCCGGCTTGGTATCCGCCTCCAATTGGGGCGGGAGCGGAGTTGAGGGCTGGGGCAGCGGCGTATCCTCCGCCAACTCCTCCGCCGACTCCGGCGCCGATTGGTCCGCCGAATCCTCCGGCGCCTGGGGCAGTGGCGTATCCACCTCCGATTGGGGCTGGGGCGAACGATGGGGCTGGGGCGGCGTACGATGGGGCTGGGGCTCCGCAGCCGCTAACGGCGGCGAAAGATCCTCCGCAGGCTGGTGGTGGTGGGGGTGGGGGTGGTGGAGGGGCGCCGCAGCCGCAAGATGGGGCTGGTGGGGCACATCCGCAGGATGGAGCGGGTGGTGGTGGTGGGGGAGCGCTGAAAAAATAGAGAATATGAAACAGTCACCAAAAAAGATTGTCAATACTTCTCAAATATGAATTTTTAGAGGTAAAAAAAGAGGCTAAAATGTGATGCCGCATCTTTAGCAGCAATTTAAAGGCCACTAAATGGACTTGCAAGGGCCGTTAAGGTTAGCTTCAAGCCGACAACCTCATGCAATGCACTTACCAGCAACCGCCGCCGCCTCCGGCGCTGGGGAACAAGAAGGCCGAGCAAGAGCCGATCAAGGCGAGCACAACAACGGCGGTCTTCATAATTGTTCGGATCGTGAGGGGATCTGGTGCCTTCAAGGTACTGCGCCCGGCCTTATAAACCCCCACAGCTGGAGCGCCAGCGGGAAAGCGGGCGGGCGCTAAGCGAGTTTTTTTATCCACGCTCGCGTCGCTGAAAGCGGGGTGGTTCCGTGGACGAAAAAACGAAGACCGTCGACGCCGTCGTCGAGGAGGGAATGTTTCCACTTTACGCCTTCTTTCCTTTTCGTTGAGCTCTTTGACTCGGGAGCCGGCTGGCTCAGAGCCAACCAAAAAAATGACGACGCTGAAGATGGAACGCAGTTGATTTAGGGGCGAAGGAAGCGCCAGGAGATTAATTGAAAACTTTCACCGCCAGACAATGCTATCAATGAATATTGCCGATATCCCGGGGGGAGACGGTTTCAAAGAAAATTCAGCGGCGTAAAACAAACACGTTGACAGCGGCTGTCGAGGTTCGATAAGGATGAGTTAGGTTACGGTAACTTTTGTTGCCCTTGGGCAAGGCATTTATGTCGTTGTTCGACCTTAGGCTTTTTCTAACAAAATAGAGATTTATTGAGTCTCAAACTAACCATTACCTTGAAATTAGATGTGTAAAACTGCAATTGTCCAGCATTTTAAATCCTGAAGATTTTAACTGTTCTTTGGCTGATGTTAACCGGGCATTCAACGGTCGACCTCGCCTGTACTCAAAGAGTTACTATTAGCAACTTTTTACAACCTTATTTTACCTACTCTTGATGTGACATCACGATTTTCTTTATGAAAAATTCTTGAGGAGTCTTCCGACTTTTGATCTCTTATTTTTTCCCACTCTTCTACTCATCAACTTTATCCAATTGTGCACTTTACTAAACGGGATTCCCATTTATTTCTTGCGCCATTTTGGAATTGGCTTCTTCACGGCGCATGTAACAATTTTTCGAGACAAAAAAATTGTCTGCTTTTTCGAGATCCTGTTCGAAGTTTCTTTAGCTTCCGCTCAAGGTCAGTCAATAAGAAGGTAGAATAAACAATGGAGAACGTGTTAATCGGGTATCTCATTGGTTTCGTAATAAAATGGATAAAGGTCGTTCGGTTAGAGTTTTATGAGTAGGATCGGGAGCGAGGAACCTTGGATTAGAGACTCGCAAGCAAAGGTGAGGAAGAAGAAAAGTTTACGAGTATCAAGCCTTTTTGTAAAATATTTTCATCCCGTTAACTCCAGCTCCTCAAGAGAACATCTTTGCACACATTGAGCTGTAAAGAAATGCTTATATGATTTATTTACTCTCCCCAAATAAAACTGAGCGGATATGAATATAATGAATATAATATATAAGTTTGGTTGTCTAGCAATGTCTTAGTGTCCCAGAAAGCTCATCCTTGTTTGGAGACCGTCGCTCTTTGTTTGAAGTTGGCCATACAAGTAGGAGCCGAGGGCCCGGGTTCTGGATATACGGTCCCGATGAAGTCTTTCCCATTCTGGCTTAGATCATAACTTTGCACATTGACAGGGCATCCATCAATAAGTGTCTAAAATGTTATTGTGGTAAAGATCATACAAACCACAACCTACTTCACATTTCTTATTGCCCCTCCTGGCCAAGAAACACATTGAAAGAAGCGAGAAATCAAAGGCCGGCGATGTTCCCATCAAAAAACTGCCAGTCTTCTTAACCAAAACTTCCCCATTTAAAGTTTGCCGATGCAATTATATCCTGCACAATTACGTAATCATTGCGTACACACAACTTACAGCCCTTTTGATGATGAATCCCCTGTAATTGAATGTACTCTTTGGATCATTTTCAAACTTATTGATCACCGCCCAATTATGCATCCCAGAAACCTCTCCATTCTTGGCCTAAATCAAGAATCTTTACAATAATTTTCAGCTCACCTCGCCGATGAAAACGTGCTCGAAAGCCGAGGAATCCAGCCTTCCCTTGGCTCTGGAGAACAGTCCAAACCAGAGATCATGCATGGTTTGGTTGAGGACAGTCTTGGCAAAAGGATGATTCTTTTTCCGAAGGACATCGATCAATTGTTTGAATGGGCCACTGTTAAAGACGGCCGTAATGAACGCCCTCTGCTTCTTTTGCTTGTCCGGACTGTTGACTTCGGCTATTCCAGTCTGGGGATTAAACAAGGGTACCAGATCCAAAAGGGCTTTAAAACTGGGCCAGTTCAAGACGGAAGGTCGGATCCATTTGAATAAACTGTAAGGGTTGCATTAATCACCATCATGAACCCACGATTTTTCGGCATAATCCGACTCTCCACCGTCAAAGTGCCGCTGATAATCCACATAAAATTCGCAGAACTTGGGTCTCTCATCGTCGGCATCTCTCATTTTCTGGGCCACTTCCTTGATCTCGACATCTGTAAGGGCCAAGACGGGGATAGCAGCATTGCCATGATAATAAAAAAATGAGAGAACAAGAATACACAGCCACATGGACGGGTTATCCAACACAATGACTTCCACGACCTTAAACTCACCTTAAACTCGTTAGCTCTTGTACAAAACCTTGTTTGATCACATGTTCAGTAAACAGTAGGACCAACACACAAAAAAGCAGGACACCCATTGAGGTCATGGCATACGTAGTTGCAAGCGTGTAAATAGACCGGCCTATGTCATCAGTCGTGCAAATGGATCGTCATTCCCGGCAGAAAAGCATAATTTGGCAATCTAAGAACCCCATTTACAAGTCACAAAACATTACAAGCATAATATAGAGGGTCGCCGCTTCCATTTACAATAAATTCAACAAAAGTAACCATGAATATCAGTAAAATGGAGCTTTATTAATAACACGTTCAGGCCGTTTCAATATGTTGTTTTCAATATATAGCTTTGGGGACGGGTCGTTGGGGACAGAATGGGGAAATTTGGGGACAGCTTAACAATTATCCAGATTGTTTGTATTCATTTTATTTCAGGTTCCTGGCAAGGCAAAATTGATTTTTCTGGGCCGATAATTCTGGGACGCTTCGCCAAAAAATAAATATTGCGGAGCTTCATATTTTTCAGTTTTCTGAAGGAATCTTTTTGACGTAGTTCATATTTTCTTGTATGAAGTTCTACATTCACCAATTTCAACTTCAATTTCAATTTATTTCCGCTGATCGTCTATCAAAATTGAACGGAAGGAATCTACATTCACCGAGATATTACAATTGTAATCGCCTTCCCCGTCAAATTAAAGTTACATCATCCTCATAAATGTCTCCATTCCCTCTCATCTCCCATCTCATCAATCATCCGCGCTCTTGAACCTCAGGTTTCCGCGGCGACGTAGGGAGTGAACCCCCATTTGTCGTCGGAGAATTCCGAATTTCACTCGAATTTCGACCAAAAAAAAATTCGCGTCACCTGAGGCGTTTTTTGGAAAATCGCGAGATTTATGGGAGATTTAATTCGAAAATGGGAACCAACGATGGTTATATTGAGAGGTTATAAGGAGTGACCAAAATTCTAGTTTTGGTGGTCGCATCAGAGATTTGTAAAATACGATATTTAGCGGTTTTTTCATAAGGAAAGTACTTCTATCGGTATGGAGTTGCAACTCGAGACATAAATCAAAAAACTCGTAAAATTTTTCTGATTCAGAATATGCAAAAGTTAGCTGCCTAATTTTGGTTTGTATGGGTGAAAAAATCCTCAGGACTTTGCTCGCAACACCATGCAAAGCCATTTTTTGACCATGTTTTTACCAATTCAAAAGCTCAGTTTTGAGTGAAATTAAACCCTGGCATCTTGAAAAAAGCCTTAAAATATCAAATTTGATTAATACTATACCTTAATTAGTATAATAGTTCCAATATATAAAAAAGGGGCATTTGTGTGGTATTGCGAGAAAAGTTCTGATGATTTTTTTCGCAATTACAAACCAAAATTAGGCAGCTAACTTTTAACTATTCTGAATCAGAAAAATTTTGCGATTTTTTTGGTATATGCCTCGATCTGTAACTCCATACCCCATAGAAGTACTAGTCTTGACATGTCTGCACAGTGCGCCGTCGTGCATGAAATTTGTCGCGCGGCGACAAGTAAAATTTACGGTGCAATGCGACACCGCACAGTGCAAAAAGGTTGTTTTGAAAAAGGTCATCCATTTCTTGATTCTTGCTGGCGAGAACGCCACTTCTCTACGGCGAACGATTTCGAACGGCCCAAAAGCCAATTTTTTAAGCCAAGTTGAATTTCTGCACAATGAAATCTTTTATTACAAACAAATTTGTTGCTCCTTTACGACTTGTTGATAAAAGCTCAGACGTTTGTAAATTTTAAAAAAGCATGCTTTCTACAGTCCACATAATAACATATGTTGTAATATTGTGTAACTCCCAATGTTGTTTCTTATTTACAAATAAAAAACGTTGATGTAATCGCCGCTCAACCCCAAGAATGCCCATCAAACCAGCTATTAAAAAAAAGAGTTACATAAGCACTCATCACACGACATGAAAACTAGTTTCCAAATAAACTTTTTTGCGGATCATAGACGTTTATCGCGTCTGAGTTTCCCGGCTTTTTAAAAATTCGAGAATTGCGCAACGCAATCGGCTGAGAAATTGAATTAATGCAGACTTGGAGATGTTTGATTCCTACACAGTAATGATGTGAGAAATTACTGTTCAAAAAATGCTATAAAAATCGATTTTGCCCCCACAGGGTCAAGAAATTTCGATTTAAACTTTTTTTTCATGTTTTTTCTTATCGACCGGTCGATTTTTTAATCCAAAAAACCAGAAAAAATAACGTTCGGCAAAAAAATCAATTAGCCTACTAAAAAAATCCAAAAAATTTTCATCGTATCGACCGGTCGATTTTTTCAAATCCAAAAAATTACCAAAGTTTTTTTTCGACAAGATTTTTTTTCCTCTGAAAAATGAAAAAATTCCATTTTTTCATTTTTTTCCTACATCTCTCACCGACCGGTCGGCTTCCCCCTTCTAAAATGCCGATAGAATCAAATGAACCAATCAAAAAAATCAAGTCCGCCGACAAAGTTCGGACGTCTCAAAAATTCGCCAGTAAATCGAAAACCAGCCATACGGGGACCAATGTGAGTAGTGCTGGAAGCAACTCCGATCTGACCTCAAATTCAATACCCGGAGATGATGGTGGACATGTGGATGCGGTTCCGTTGTTGCCAGAAGTCGCGGTGCGGGACGAAAGGGCGAGGTGGGATTGGTGAGTGAGAAGGATTGTTGGTGATGATGACAGGGAAAGTGTGAGGAAAATCCACATTATTTCCCCGACATCCCTGATATTTAGAAATGATATGATTTTTTAAAACTTTGAATCGCTTTTTCACTTTTTTGTTGCCGGAAAAACTTGTGTCTATAATGCACGGTGAACATCAACCACAAAAAAAAGTTTCAAGTCGGGAAAACTGTTTGCAACACTTTGTTAGGATACCCAAGGGTAGCTCAAATAAAAAATTGGAAACAAGTCGGACTGACCAAAAAATAGTAGATTTGAAAACCTTATTTTAGGCATTTTTTGCTACTAATAGGGGAAGTACTCCAAGTCCGACGCTCAGAGTTTTCTTCAAATTTTGCACAGATGTAGGGCATAGACTAAATGTCAATTCCTGAGAGTTGCAGCTCTTGCCTTGCAAGCGTCGCCGAGATATTGAATGACTTTTGCCGCCGAGAGAGCACTTTAAACGGGATGGGCGGTCAGAGAGAAAGACACTTTTTGCCATAACTTTGCTAGTGCAGAAAAAAATAGATTTTTTGTGGAAACATTGCCTTCTGTGCTAGAAATAGGCATGAAATTTTTCGTGCCGAAACTCGGCGTAAAGTCTCAATTTTTCGCGGACTGTCGATCTAGAAACTCTCGGTTGTTTTTGCAAAGCGTAAGCTAGGATTCTCGCATATAATTTTGGAAAAAATATTGTAAATCTGTGCCAAGTTTCATCAAAATCTGAGCTTCGAACTTGGGGTACTTCATCTGTTAGCCGACTCGTTATGGAAAGAATTGAACGAAACGAGACAAAAAATCCTATTGATTTTTAATGCATATTCAGGAAGCAATGGTTCAAATTCATCTGTGTCCATGTTTGTTGTGTCATCATCACCTTCGCTTTGATCGTTGTCGCCTTCACTTTGGCCTTTATTATGTATAAAAATTTGTATCTTGACAAATAAACATTGCACTTTCCATTTATTATACTTCCATAATTTACACAACTTTTGAAACATTCTACAGGGTGTTTCAAGAAATTCCCCGGAAAGTAATCGTCGATTTCTCGGCGCTCAGTCAAGATATCCAAAAAAATTCTTTTGCATAATAAAGAAGAATATGGGCGGTTTTTTGCCTATGAAAATCATTTTCTCCGCCAACGCGGAAAGCAGTGTATTCGGCGGACACTTTTGAGCACTTTTTTGGTCATCACACCCATCTTGGACGCTTTTTTATGGTTTCTGATGGTTGAAATCAGGATTTTTGCTGGTTTTTGTGTTTATCAAGCGTTTGGTGAAGGTACGGCAGCTGCTCGCCGTATCTTAACTCAGCTATGGACAAGAAATGGCCCAACGCAATTCTTATGGTCTGGCAAGCATTCTCTGCAGGTGTTGTAAACCCTCAAAAATTTTGTCGCCAAGCCTTGTTAGACGTTTAGCCATCGAGAAACGACTTGGTTGACTGGAAAACAACAAAATATTTTTTGTTTAAATTTCTCTTTGCCATGCTGTTTCAAAAATGCGCACGGTGCGCTCCGACTTTATCGACGTTACAGGGACTGCATTGCACCGTGCGGCCGCTGAATCGGATCGCTTAGCATTGTAGCCGGCCATCTGATCCATTGTGCAAGAAATTTGAAGACTTACTGGATGCTTAAGTGTCGCAATAAAGCATTAAAAATTCGTGTGATAAAGAAAAAAGAGCCCAAAAGTCTCCGCCGAATACACTGCTTTCCGCGTTGGCGGAGAAAATGGTTTTCATAGGTAAAAAACCGTCCATATAAAGCGGGAGATAAAAGATTTTCTGAAAAATTTTTGAAATTTTTCTGTTTTTACTTTTTTTTTAAAAAAAAAGTAAATTTTCAGTTTACTTTCCGGAAAATGCAAAAAAAAAGTCAATTTTTTGTTTGGCTTTCCGACTTCAAGGTCGGGAGTAGGACCGGATCTTACTCCCCGCTCGGAGTCGAGGAAAGTCAGAGCTTGTTTTTACTTTCTTCCTCTTTTTGGCCCCGCACTGCAGGTTGCAAGGTTGACGCCAAGTCTTTCCCTGATGTGTCAAGTTTTTCTCTTCCGAAAAAATTATTTTTATGTTTGTGCGATGTTGTGAAGCTATGTTCTCTACGAAGATGGGCTGAAAAGTGATCAAGTAAGTTAGCATTAGCAAGAGGAGATGTACGTTTTTCATTTGACACCAAAAATTTCCCTGTTATTTCAGAGAAAGGTACAAAATTTTTCCAATTCGTAAAGCTTCATGACCATGGATAATGTAAGTGAGATTATCTCGTTTTTTGCTACGACGTCAAGATTCTAAGTCGGGAAACGTTTAGAGGAGACCCCACTCTCATGTATATTCTCCATGTATGAAACCCCATCAATTTTGAGGAATAACGACGTAAAAATTTCAAATACTAAGTTATTGTAACAACGTTATTTGAGCCTTATTACGTTATGACCTCAGTTTAGAACGCCTTCGCGGCAAAAATCCGGCAGATCTGAGCGGATTTCGATATTGTACATGACACCTAGAAATCGAAATTGATGGCGTTTGATAGATGGAGAATATAACAAAACTAAAGAGTGCGGTGTCCTCTAGAACCCCCCAGCCTAGAACTGTTTACTCCAATAACGGAACAAAAACGAGATAAGCGCACTTACATTATCCATGGTCGTGAAAAACTCCCGAATTGGAGAAATTCTGTAAAATAAAAGGAAAATATTTGGTGTCAATTGAAAGAAGAACACCTGCTCTTACTAATAACAACTTACTTGTCTAGTATTCATGCCATCTTCATGTAGAAACAGGCTATATCGAAAAGAGGGGAAAAATAATTTTCTTACGGGGGAGAAATTTGACACATCTGGGAATTCCCGGGTGATCAAGGGCGCAGCTCACAAAAATAGTTTTGAAGAAAATAAATTGGTGAGTAAAAACGGCGTCTTACTCACCAGCCAAAATGGGCGAGCCATTTTTGTTTCAACTTTCCGGATCGAACTTTTGGCGAGCCATTTTTGATCCAACTTTCCAAAAATTTGTCGTTCGGAGTAAGAATGTTTTTTGACTTTCCGAAATCGAAAATTTCCGGAAATTTTTCAAAATTTACTTTTTTTTTAAAAAAAAAGTGAAAACAGAAAAATTTCAAAAATTTTTCAGAAAATCTTTTATCTCCCGCTTTATATTCTTCTTTATTATGCAAAAGAATTTTTTTGAATATCTTGACTGAGCGCCGAGAAATCGGCGATTACTTTCCGGGGAATTTCTTGAAACACCCTGTACATCAAACTTTTGTTTCCTTCTTTACTATAACGCTAATTTAATAGGCCCAACAGCACAAACATTCACACACAAACATGTCATGCACAAACCTGGAATTTATTATTAATGCCGCAAAAATAAATATAATACAGCTGCCAATTTGCATTCCGTTTCCTCGAAGGGCAATTGTATGGAAGAAGAGATTAGGGGAGATTTTTCTGCATACAATCATGCTGATCTTTGACTCAATTTTAGCGGTTTTTGAAGCCAATAGACCTTTTTTGGGGGGCTAGAAATTTGAAATTGGAGACGAAGACGCTTTTTGTTTGACAGTACGGTATTTACTGATGTGAGTAAATGAGTGGAAATCCCTCGAAGAAAAACAAAATTTGAGAACTGGCGACATTTGTAGAGAAAGGATTACTTTTGTGTCGTTGACATAGTGAACTCGTTACAAAAAAAAAGAAAGTATCAAAAAGTATCGCAGAGTCACTAAAGCGGCCTTACGAGGGAATGGTCTGAACTTCCCCTAGCGTTCGGAAAAAAGATAAAGCGTCCGCTCGATATTCTTTTGGGGGTTGGTTCGATTCCGGGGCGGCGCGAGTGCCTGTGATAAGGATTTGGTGACCAAGATGAAAGCCTTGTGATTCAAAAAAAAAATATTTTGCGATTTCAAGACCTTCAAGAGATCATAAAACACGTAAAGGATTTTCAAGTAAATTCCGGTGACTTTTTTTCTGGAAGATTCTAGAACGTTCCCAGTCATACTCCAATAATCTAGTCCTGGTTGGAGGGCGTTGAACATTACGATAAAAGAAATCCAGATGCCACTGGCTTGTTGTATATTTTTCCTTATTGTTAAAATTCCGGATTCAACGTGGAACTTGGTAGAAAAAACACCGAAATTTACATGAAAATCCTTTATTATTATGTGCTTTATGATCTCTTGAAGGTTTTAAAATCGCAAAATAATTTTTTTTTTGGATCACAAGGCTTTCATCTTGCTCATCAAAGCCTTATCACGGTCCTTCGCGAGACCCTGGAATCGAACCAACCCCCAAAAGAATATCGAGCGGATGCTTTATCCACTCGGCTAACCGAACCACTGGACACCGCTCTTCTTTTCCGAGGGAAGAGAAAGAGCAAATTTTTGAGGAACTTTCGGTCGATTTTTCTCGTCGGCTAGGCTTATTTCGCAGCTGGAAAATGGCTCTTTTTACCAAAGTTGACCTGCTCGACCCACCTGTACTGGTCATTTTCCTAAACGCTGGGGGAAGTTCAGACCATTCCCTCGTTAGGCTGAAAACAAGGATAACCAATATCTTTGCAAATTTGGCCAGAGCCAAAAAACCTCAGAAATTGTCCAACAACTTTTATTTTCAAAAAAAGCATTACATATTCTTCGTATGAAACGTTTTGATACCATATTTTGGTTCATGCAATAATCCTTGAGTATAGTCTTTTAGGTTTCCGAGGCCGTCAAAACCGAAGAATTAGAAAACCCAAGAATAAACAGGTAAAGAAATTTTGTCTTTTTGTGCGTACCAGTCTTTTCGGAAAGTCGCCGGACTGAAATCGGCTGCATGCACTAAGCGAAAACACAGGTTTTCTTTGCATTGTGCAATTTCTTCCTTTTTGCACCGTGCAATAGGCTTTTTCGGCTGTCGCTTACACCCTGACCTTTTTCGCACATTTCAAGCGCCAAAAAACAATCCCGCGACTTTCCGGAAAGGCTAAAAAAAAACACGGCTCTATAATTTTTACAATCCAAGCCATCATGATGCCGGAACCCGGTGCTAATTCGACATTCTCTTTACGGTAGGAATTCCCAGAGAAACTTCAAAATTTTATTCTTTCTGCTTATTATTTCGTATAACCACCTCCAATTTACCGGGAAGGTCCGGACTAGCAGATTGGATTCTGCAAGGACGTCCAAAACATTCTTAGTGCTCAGAGTTGATACAACGGTAATTAATTTTGCCTTTTGCACGTACGCAAAGCGAAAATATTATACCTACATCCTTCACGGAATGGAAAGGGCGACACTTCACAAATTACAATGTTGGATCATCCTCTTTTTGTTCGGAGAAGCCTCAAATGTGACGTCCATAAATTATAGCGTATATTTAGACGAGCAATGGAGCTTCATGAAGTAGGACACACAAGTTTTCTTGGACCAAAATTCCGCAAAAATATTAGCCTGCATTTTTCAGAGCCAGTCAACACATTCGGCGTTTTTTTATAGGGGCTTTGTATATGTCTTGCAAATTTTCCTAGGGAAGAGGAAGAGGGAGATTTTGTGGAATTTTCGGTCGATTTTTCTCGTCTTTCGCAGTTAAAAAATGACTCTTTTTACCAAAGTTGACCTGCTCTATACACCTGTACAAGTAATTTTCCTAGGGGGAATTTCAGACCATTCCCTTGTTAGACAATCATGATTTAAAACGGACTTTTTTAGAAAGTGAAGCATGGCCCGGACATTGTTCCGGTGATCATCACCGAATTTCTTCCAATTTGGCTCATAGAACACCCACAGGGCACACATCAAAAGTGTCAAACGTTTTCCCAAAATTTGCATTCTTTCGGGATTTCTGTAACATTTTGCGTTTTATAAAGCGGCCGTTGTCATGGGCCGGGTGATTGCACGATGGGTCTAAAACTTTATGCCTGACAGTTTTCGACCATGGCCAACATTTTTTTAATTGAAAAATTTTTTGTATCTTATTGTTAGAGACAAATTTAAAAATCTGACTGGCTGTTCCCCTGTACGTGCGACTTCACGTGCCTCAAGCATGCCGTATATTCTTTTAGTGTTTTTAGTCGCTTTTCACATTCACATGCGGAAAAATACCCTGCAGAAGCAACCTGTTCCTTTGCTCTAGCAACAGGCTTTAAAAGTACCATTTTGCCGTTCCCAAAATATTACTTCAAAGCTGTGCATAAAGTAGCAACCCTCCTCGTCACTCGCAGTCCTTGAACAGATTTCTCTCGCATTTTTGTTGACTTAATTAAAGGAAAAGCTTTCTCGGAATGGCATTTGTTTTACTTTGTTGTAAACACCGTTGACCCACTTCATGGCCCGTTGTGGCCTTTAGTCCGGCGTCGCAGAAAACGGTAGTCAATTGGGTTGGAAAAGGGATTAGAGAACACGATGACAAATAAGTCGAGTGGATAAATGAATATTCATAGCAAAAATGGTATTCATAGCCTGCAGCAAAATTTCGGCCAAAGATTGCATCCAGTGTTTTGTAACTTAAAGCGGAGCGCGTTCAGGGCTAATATTTTCACCAATTTTCGTGTCCGTAGTACGTCTAGAAAGCAGTTGTATTTTCCTAATTTTAACTTGCGCTTTGCAGATGTGTCGTTCAAAAATCAGCGGGATATTATGGGAAATGAGGAGAGATGATCAGAGAAATAAGGTCTTCATTCAAAAAGCGCAATTTTTCTACAAAAAAGCAATTTTATTTATGCAAGTCCGGCAGTATGATCAAAAAAGGTTTTCTCTGACCGATCTCCGCACTTTGCGTATTCTCTTTGCGGCAGAGATGGTCGGCATTTCGGCAGCCTATGAAAACCGCGGGCCAATTTTTTTTATAACTGATATCACATCAATTGCAAAATTTAAAGAAAATCTGACCCTCGCACTTCACTAAATTTTGGCCAAGTTCTTTTTCTCCTGAGAACGCATAAAAACACGCATAATTTCTTCGGATTTTGTTTTCTTGCCAAACAGGGTTCTGAATTTCTGATGCGTGTAAATTGCAATCCGTTTATGTCCTTTTGGCTTCTCTTTTTCACACATAAGCCAAACTACATTTATTCCAGTTTGTTTCATCTGTTTTATAGCAGCCATACGATATCTTCTATGCATGTAATGTATAATATGTATGTAATGTATAATATGTATGTATAGTGTTACGAGCTTGAAAATTTTTGAGATTTCCTATTTGGATTTGCTTTCGAATCACTATAATTCCTATCCAAAAAATCAAAAAAAAAAACTTCTAACTTTTGACCTCCAATCTTCATCAAATTTTTTTACCATCCCGTGATCCCCCTCGCGCTTGCACTTGTTCATTTGATCGCCTTGATGTTGACAAGCCAAAGGCATTTCAATCTTGGAACACTCAGCCTCTTTTTCTTAGCTCCGTTTAGGTTTAGAGATCAGCTTCGACTTGAAATTCGTAATTCTTATAATGTCTAAAAAACCGACGGCAGGAAATTGCGCGGGTCAAGGGTTCTACTGTTACTTGAGCTTTGATTCAATTTCTTAATGTTAACAAATTTCCGGGATTTCGAGAATTTATTTCCTTGCTTCGTTAATTATGTTAGCGACAGTACGAAGCCCAATTTTGTTGTTTATCCGCAAATTTAAGTTATTACTGTAGAGTTGATGTCAATTAACAACCAAAATAGAATGGTCATAAGTCATAGGTGTTATTAATAAATTTTGCAGCTGGATTGGCAGCAGCTCCCAGTTGACTACTTAAAATTAAAAAAGGCAAGAAAAAATGTCAGGCTATTGTTTTGTACCAAAATGTTGGGGGTAAAGAGGCATAGTTTTGCATCTTTTTGCTGACACTTCTTGGTTATTAAGACGCTCAAAAGTCGAGGTTTTCTCCATTATGAAACTATAATACTAAAATCTGGAAATTAAAATTTCCACTTTTTTCGGCAAGTTGCAAAATATTTTCCTCTTCATAAACACAGCGCTACCGTACCAAAGCAGGAAGTACAAAGAGCGCAACACTTGCTAAAGGTCACATGAAGATCTTGATCATCTAAGAAACAGAGTCCTTCAGTTTTAACCTTTTTTCGATCGAATGATTTGTAGTTTGAAGTTGACAAAAAATTATCAAAGATCATTAGAGAGAGAGACAAAGCAGTCTCCAATTGTAGCTAATCTTGCTCACCAAAGCTTGTGCTGAATTTTCATGATTTGAGTAGATTTTTGTTTTAAATGAATTATTATTTACCGTTAATTATTGGCGAAAAAAAACTGGGTTGCAGCACAAAACTTTTTTGTTGGTTTTTGCCCTCTTTTACCTTGACCCGCAGTTTTTTATCTTTTTTTCCTTTTGGCATTCTAAAAAATTCCATAAAATATAAAAAAGCCCTGACACTTGGCAACATGTCAATCTCACCCAGCCCTTGAACAGCTCGCTACGAAGAGCGAGCCTTTTTTCTCAGTTTGTGTTCCGCGTATATAAGTAAACAAGATGATCACTATCGGCGCTAGCTGTTATTCTGTTTAGTCAACTGTAATGGAGTTACAGCTTGTATGTTGCTTCTTACACAGCTTGTATGTTGCTTCTTTATATGCGATTTGGTTCGGAGCTTGTAACCCGTAGGCAGTGGGAAAATAAACATTTTTATGCTTTTTGCGACTCGCAGATACAGGGCTCATTTCTCTAATTCGCAATGTTCTTATCTTCTTTTTCCCCAATCCTACAATACCCGACACTCTGTAGTTTACTCCCAATCTGCGAAAGTAAAAAATTCGAGTAATCACAAAAGTGCGAAGGACGCACTCTTACATGATTACTCAGTTTTTTCCGGGCAAAGAATTCAAAAAGAGTTGGCACGGCCAAGGTTCCATTGTCCTCAAATTGAATCACACAGTCGGCCCATGTCAAGGCCAAAAAACCGAAGGCTTTTCCACAGATTCCCCATTATTTAAGTCGAATTTGGGACGAGATTGAACTTGATTGAACTAATTAGTCGGAATTATTCGGTTTGAAAGTACTGTAGAGGTTCTTACAAGGATTTTTCATGATTTTGGGATAAGATTAGATATGAGCTCACATTTGATTACAGTAGCCGTAAATTTGACCAGGTTTAAAAGATAAATTGTACGAAGTTTTAACCAAACATTCCTTGCAAGCAATCTAATAGAGTATAGGGTTATGATGCTTTATTCTATGTTAAATATTTTCCACATTTTCCGGCATTACAAGAGAATCTTCTGTTTGAAGACTTGAATAAATAATTCCTGAAAGAGATCCATTCCCAGAAGACTGTGTCTCTATTTACGGCCCCTCATTAAACGTGTATCCCCGGTGCACGGCAACCCGAAATAGAAGAAAAATGTTTCCCGCCCACTTTTGAGTTTCGTCCAAACGAAGTGTCAAAATTGTCAAGAGAAACAAAATAATTCCGAGAAAAATATTTTTCGGTCGCACAATCCCACGAAAAATTCTTTTGCGACATTTCGTTTGATCTCAACCGATACAAAATGGGCGAAGTGTCGAAAGGAGCCAGGAAACACTTCGGGTTGCCGTGCGGTGCTTTTCATTTCCACGTGCTTCAATTTATTTAGCACCCTAAGTATACATTCAAATTCCAAGAGTTTCTTCCAAATTTTGCAACGTTTTACGAATATGGTATCCTTCGCTTAATACGCTGATATCTCTGAAAATAGCCAATCATCTTTATCTATTAGCGCATAATCCCCATGGCGAACAAAATCCTCGTTTACCGGAATTTACCATTTGATTTATCAGACAAAATAAATTACGGAGAAATCTATATAAATTTAATTAAAACGCGAAATTGGAAAATGGAAGGTTCTGCGTCAAATATGTATAATCCCAGAGGCTACCTACAAAAAGTGTAGGCATGGTGTGATTTTGTTTTGTGAATGCAGGGTTTGGTACTGAAAGCGGAAATCTTATATGTATAATATTTACTATAGGAAGGGATAACACATGGATTTTTTGTATGGGGTTGATTGTGGATGTAATAAAAATTAGCGTGATCTTTAGATTTACTAGATTTTTAGAGGAACCAGGACAGTAACATAAACGGGAACCCGATTTTCGTATTTAGCTTCTCTTCGGAAATAGCGATGCGGACAAATCTCAGTTCAGCTTTCTGGATCTGTAACTTTTCTAGACAATAAGCGAAACAAAAACAACAAACAACCGGACGTTTAATATCGATATTTATTTATATTCAAAATCAACAAAATTTACAATTTTATAAACATTTATAATATGTATTAAAATGTAATATTATTCCCAATCGTAAGAAACGGGAAGTCGGTGCATCTGATTGAAGGCCGATGCCGGGTTGTAAAACTGGTGCATGTGTTCGGTTGAATATTTCTCCATCGGCGGTGAGCAACATTCGCAGAGCAGGATTGAGGGCTTCCTTGGGCTGAGCGGTTCTTCCTTGACATTTTCGACTTCTGCCTTGATTTGTACCGGTTCTTCTTTAACTATTTCAATAGGTTCGGCTTTGATTGCCTTCTGACTGCGAGTTATAGGCTTGGCTGAAAAGAAATATTCGTAGGTAATAAATAGCATCAAAATTAAAAGGAATTAAAAGAATTATGACATAGAAATACTTAAATAAATCCTTTAAAAATAAGATAAAAAATCACTTACAATTTTCTTTCGAATCCTCTTCGAACTCTTCAATGATTTTGTCATTGATGATCTTCTTCATCAATGAGGCATAAGTGTCCGGCTTCTGAATCGCCTTCTTGGCCTTGGCGGACTTAGCAGCGGTAGCTTTGCGGGCACGGCACATTTTGAACAAGGAGGAAGAGGAGGTCAATTATTGAGATGTAACTCAATCTGTTATAGAAGTTTGATAAATTCGTGGCCTTATATACCCCTCCTTGATTTGTTTTTATTTCTGCTTAGTTGATTATTTTCTGCGCTGCTTTGTTTTGACATGAATTTTCTGCTTTCGGCTTTTTTATTGCGTAATTATCTGCATTTGAAAATTGTTGACAGAAAAATTGCAATTTGTGGCGTGGAAATTAAACATTCTTTAATTCTTTGATTAATTATAATCTTGAGATGGCCAAAGCTTTGAAAACACGCCTTAAGCCAAGAAGAAGTGTTATAAACTGACGAAGATACAATGCCTTTGAATTTTATTTTAGGTCTTATCAGCTTGTGCGGGGTCCACGACGATGTTCCAAAAGTTGTCGGTTATTGTTTCCGTCTCTCTGGGATACTTTTTGATACCAAATTCTCCATTGTCTTAATCGATTTGCGACTTTATTGTCGGCTAAAACTTTTTGGTTCTCGGAATGGCTATTTTTGGTCATTATTGGAACAGCATTTGCATTCCTATCTAATCTAATCGTCCTTTTTTCCCAATATCTCAATCTTCACGTACTCAAACCTAATTTAAATAAAAAATTTTTAAAATTCCCATAAAAGGGATGCCTGTTGAGTCACTCATAGTTTTTTGAACTCTTGCCATAAACGTCTCTGAAGTCTTGCAACAATTATTTATTCATTTTTGATGCCTAGACATTGTTCTTTTATTGGACTTTGCACTTTTCTCTTTTGGTCCTTTCTTGGAATTACTCGTCTAATGTTTTGTAATGGTCTTAGAACACTATGCAACACTATTCACGGGGTGCGAAAAGCTCCAGTATCTTTTTTCGTCTTTAATTTTGTTTCCAATTATCGGAGATTAAAGAAGACGGCGGAAGGAGGGCAAAAAAAGTTGTATGATCATTTTGTACGGCGAAAAATGTTTATTATATGATTTATGAAGACGGCTCTGTTTTTCGGTGAAAATAAACAGATGACTCTCAGCTCAGAGGGGTGCAGATTTAAAACGCGTTTTTTTTTTGAACCAGTAGGAATTGTTTTTAGTAGTGTTCCTAACATTTGACGAGAAAATTTTTGACGTAGCTTGAGGATGACTAAGAATCATACCGTCTAGAGGAATTTGATGGAGTTTTTAAACAATTTTTTTGGCATTTGTTAATTCCTAAGTTAAGAAGTAGTCTTGACCAAAAGATCCAAAAAAGGTCGAGTGTTCGAATTTGATATCAAAAATGGCGCAACAATTCTGGGTAAAAATTAAATTTAATTTAATCACCTTGTAACAGACTAAAGTAGACGATATTGAGTTAATAATTTTTGCTTTATTGAATTACTTCCCATAAAGTTTTCTAATAGAATTCGACACAGTGTGGTAGTATGGAAATTAAGCGTTTTTTCCATAAAAAATATTTACATCTTTTTTAAATTTCTTCTATTTTTTAACATTTTTCTTTAAGATACTTGCTCTCTAATGCAAGGCATAGTGTAATTTGGCCAATAATAGCGGAATGGACGGGAATGCCGCGTGCTTCTTCTGTAAACACCCTCGGGATGGGTCTCGGATAAGGGAAATAATGCAATTTCGGAGTATTTTTATTTGTTTCAGGGGCGGTAAATTAAGTTGGAAACGATGAAAGGAGGGGTTTTAGACTATGACTTTGGGATGAAATTTCTTAGTATGGCTTTTTTTGAAAAAAATTGTACCGATTTCTTCTGTAGAGAGCTTCCACAAAAGATGTGTTTGTTCGCCTAATTCCCTCAAAATCCTTGTATTCAAAAAAAAATTAATGCGGAAATTGGAATTTAGAAATTAATTGTGTGAAAATCTCCGCGAGAATAGCCCTGGATTAAGTTTAACGGGACCGGCTTTAACATTTTTCGGGCGCAGACTGAAGTGACGCTTTTTGGGTAATCAAAATAATTACCCAAATTGTCCATGGCGAATGTGTAAAAAAATGCGAAAATTCGAGGGGAACGGCGATAAAAAAATTTTAATAGCTGCTGAGGTCTGGTCATTTCGGCCACAATCTTTCCAATTTGTTAGAGAAAAGCCATAGATTTTGACGACAGATGACAAGAAATGCTGCTGTTGTTTTCGTAGGAGGGTTGGGAAGATTTGGCGCTGGTGGTCTTCCAGGAAAGGGCTTGAGTAATAATGACGCTGTCGTTATTTGACAAAAATTTTTTTTTTTTTTGATTTTTATTACTTATCTCTTGGATGAAATTCTTTAAATTTTGCACACACGTCGGGTATGGACTAAATATCAATTCCTGAAAGTTTTAGCTCGCGCTTTGCGGGCGCCGCCGAGATATCGAACGATTTTTGCCGCCGAGAGAGCACGCTAAACGTGGAGAGCGGTCAGAGAGAAAAGCGCTTTTTGGCCATAACTTTGGCAGTTTCGTGCGTAAAATTTTGATTTTTTGTAGAAACATTATCCTTTGCGGTTGAAATAGGCATGAAGCTTTTTGTGACGAAATTCGGCAAAAAGTCCAAAATTTTCGCCGACTTTCGATCTAAAAATCTCGGTTGTTTCTGCAAAGCGCGAGCTAGGATTCTGGCATATATCTTAGAAAAAATTGCTCTAAATTTGTGCCAAGTTTCATCAAAATCTGAGCGTCGCACTTGGAGTACTTCCCCTGTAAAAATCGATTTTTTTCATGCAAGATTGGCAAAAGAACATGGAGAAAAAAGAGCTCCGTACCTTCGTCGCGTGATTCCTAGCAGTTTGTCTGGGAAAAACACAACGGCATCACCCCTAATTTTGGTAATTCATCACCAAAATTAGCGGTTTTCTTTTTGATGGTATAATAAATTTGGCCTCAATGTGTTTTTTGTCTAGTATTGTGGTACTTTTTGGCAAAAACAACCAAAAAACATTCAATCGGACCAATTGGATTCCCGGGACTAATCTTAAACCCTTTCCCTCCCATTCCAGGTCACGTTGACCTTATACGAATACGCGGAAGTCCCGGAATCCCTTAAAATTCCACTTTGATTTGCATTTTTTTACGTCGTTTGCAGTCACGTTGTCCTCAAGATGGACGCTTTTTTCTCGGAAGACTTTGGAATTCTGAGATTGCACTCTTACTTTTATTATTTTACACTTCCCGTTGGTGAAACTATAACGGAATGTTCCAGTTGTTAAAAGTTTTGTGGCTGTTTGAGTTTATTGTGTCGTTTTGTAGGCATACGGAAACTCAGAATACGGCGAAGAAATTTTTTCAAATTTTCTCAACATGCTGTTCCACGATCATATTTTATTTTTTGTTATAGTGGAACCTTTGTATGTACATATAATATAATGAACTCATAGCCAACAAGACCCTCCTAAACCGTATAATTTTTGATGATTCTTTGGGAAAATAGGATCGTCGTACACCCGGAACTTGCAAAGTCCAGGTTGCTTTGCTTCTCCAAAGCGCAATCTATCAGTCTGTTGGGAAAATAACGGCGGGTCGTCGCAGCAAAGTGTCTCGCATTGCCGCTATCGCGCACCAAATCCCAAGCCGCGGCTTGCAGTCATACTAGGTGGGCCGAAACGAGGCGGAAGACTCCCTGGGATGCCGTGAGGCGCCACGATCGACCGTTTTTCCCCCACAGACTGATAGAAGTCTCGCATATGCCATCGGCGAAGTCAGGGCATGTTTCAATTCATTTTGCGCTGAGGCTTGCAAGAAATTCGCCGGGACGCATGTTAATCTGGTACATTGAACTTGTTGCCAAACGTGTTATTCTCCATTTTGTCTCAATTTTTAGAAACTGCAAGGAATCTCGGTGAGAGTATAACATTTCTGATGACTTTCTTACGAGTTTTCATTCTCAAATCTTTGAAATTTCCTATTCATTGTTGCACATTAAAATGCCTCTTGAAGATTCTGACAACCTTAATTTTTATGTTTGCTGTCCGCTTACCCATCAAATTCGGTTTCTTAAAAACAGCCAAACTACTGTGTAAGCCTTGCGAAATCACCACCAAAAACAACATTTCTTCCCGCATGCCCTTCTTCAATGCTTCTTATGCGGAATTCTTCTCATATGACGGTTTTCTGGCCGCACAAACGTATCCCGAGTACATTAACCGCAATTTCCGGCGTTTTCCGCGAATCCTTCCGGGTTGTTTCGCATTTACTCGTCTAGCCGATTATTTACATACAGCGCATCTGCGAGTTTCCGCTATTCTATCGTCTCAGCGCATATTAGTAATAATTAAATTTGATTCCTGAGAATAGAAAAAGTCTGACAGTCTATGTATATAAAATCTTGTTTGGCCGCAAAAGGTCTTTCGGCGTGCGACCCTTTGTCTAACCGTATAAAGGTGGTCGCAGGAGTTCTCGACTTTTATTTTTGTTGATGGGTAGAGTTTCGGTGAACACATGGATTGAAATTGATTTTGGAAAATCAGTCATTTTTTGTGTTTGTCATACGACGATTTTCCAAAAACTGCACTGGTTTTTTTTCAAAATTTTCGATTTTTTTCCACTGATTTTTCAAAATCAATGTCAGCCCATTTTTGCACTCAATTTCGACACAACACCAAAAATATTCAGAGAACTTTAGTGACCACCATTCTCTGCGATTAATTAGCAATTCGGACTGCTAATTTGAAGGATAATTAGAAGGGTGTTTCAGGATTACTGGAGTACGGTAGGAGATGGGGATGGGGGTGGGGTAATGTTGGGATATAGTATATATACATACATATATAATATATTTTTAGAGCAACATTCTATTTTTGTTTATTGCAGAAAATAGACGACCTGCGATGTTGTCTACTTTCTGTTGACAAGCCAACGTGTATTCAAGGAAAACTTGGCAAAAGGTCAGAGCCATTTTTTGAAGGCAACATGGAAGGCTTTTAGTTGGTGCAAGTCGCCAATTTTCAGCCTTTAACAGGCAATTTTACAGAAACCTTCGAACCGCGGAAATGTTTTTTTTTGTCTCGAAAACAAACAATAAAA